TCATGGCAGCCCAAGGGCTCAGGGCACCAGCTGAAGGCCCTCTCCCCTGTGGGCCTACAGAGGGACCAGCACCCAGGAGGTCAGAACAGCGCTCACTGAGGACTCTGTGCCCTGGCAGGCAGCCCCAGGACCCCCGCCAAGGGGCTGCTGGGCCACCCTCAGTGCACATGTGGTCCTGTTGACCCCAGAAGTGATCCTGGAGTGGGAGCGGGCGAGGTCTGAGCCAGAGAGCCCTGGGCTCCCACACTGTGGCCTCAGAGCCCGCATCCAGCCCCCCATCTTGGCCCCGGCTAAACCAGGACTATTTTTACAAAGTCCGGATCTGGCTGACCTGTGCTATTTGGAATTGATCTGCCGTCCTCCGCATCCTGTGGGCAGGCATGGGGTGGGCACGGGTCGGGCTCTGCCTGAGCACCCTCCCTGCCCACAGGATGTGGGGGGTGGCAGCCCAGGCCAGCCAAAAGAACGGGGAGGACCAGGCCAGCCTGGCCCCATCGGTGCTGGAAAGCCACCGCGCCCGGAATGCCAGCAGGGGCCACTGCACCTTCACAGTCTGCTCAGCATATAAGCCCTAGGTTGGCCCCTCAGGTCTCAGGGCGGAACAGCCACAGGGGCTGCCCGGCCTCGCCTTCAGAACCAAAACAGAGGACATCGCTAGGTTGGCAGAAGCGGGGAGGAGAGCAAGGCCAGAAGGAGACTCGGCCCTGAAGCAGAAGCGCTGTCTGGTTTCAGTCTGACCTGGCTCTTCTTCTTCCCCACCACCCCAACCCCACCCCCCATCCAGGCGCTTCCTCATGGCCCCACACTCCCCAGCCCTGAACCGCCTTCCAGCCATTCCCACACGGGCCCGGAGGAAGCATCCTGATGCGCACACTCTACAGGGACCGCCCTGCTCTGAGACCTTCTCGGGCTCCCCACTGCCCCAAGATGCTTTTTGCCACTTCCCAGCGTCCTCTCCCCACGCCCCAGCTGGGGCTGCTGGGCCAGTCACCAGAGCCAGGCGCATCACAGACGTCCTTCCGCTCCCCTTTCCCCTGAGCTCGGCTGTTGCTGATTCCCTCAGATCAGCCTTCTAACAGCCTCGTTTTCTCTTCAGCTGGGTCTAGTCTACCTGTTAACAACTCTAATTATTATCCTTCTTCACTTTAATACATATATTTTTCACTAGTAGAATTTAAAATTTAGGTCTTTGAAACATCTCCCTGTTCTTTTTTTAATGAGGTGCTGTTCTCGTCTTGCACGTCCTACTCCTTCCCATAGAGCTTTGACAGCTCAGTACACCTGAGGGAAGGGCCTCGGGAGTTCTCTCTCCGGGAGCCGGCTTCCCCGTTTTCTGGGCCGGCTGACTCCCTTCCACAAAGGTGGGCTTCCTCGCATGCTCTGTCTGCTTTGAACGAGCTTGTCTTCGGGGGAGTTGTCCTCTGGGTCCCATGCAAGGTCCAGACCATTAAGGCTTTCCTGAGGTGTGGTTTTTGGATTTGCCTCTGCCAGCTTTCCTGGAAACAGAAGGTCTGCCCGGGAAAGGAGGTGGAAGTCTCAGGACGGCACAAAGTCGGGGCTGAACTTGGCTCTCTGCATGTAGCCAGAGCCAGGAAGAGCTGTTCTTTCACAGACGGAAAAACTGCCCACTGGCCTGGGGACAGAGACTGAAATCAGGGCGCTTGCCCTGGGCACTGAGTGGAAACCAAGCCATGTATGTGACACTAGACCCCAAAACTGCACCACCCAGTTCTCAGAACAAAGAAAACCCTGAGCCTGGAAACAGGGTCAGACAGGTGTAACTTGATGAATTGGGATGATGGTGATGTGGAATTCGCTGTGCTGTTCTGTCTACATTTTATGTATGTTTAAAATTTCCATCATGAAAAACGTTTGCATTAAAAATAACGAGCCTCTAAGACATCTACTGGTCCCCAAACACTCTGCGTCTCAACTTGGCTTTAATACCAGCTCCCACTCCTATTTCTGAGTTCCATTCTTTGCTTCTGGCCCCTGGAAATTTCCCTGCTAGCTTTAGCTTTCAAGCTCAGCTATGTAATTTAAATGTTTCTTGGCACATTTTATCCAGCGTAGAGGGGAAAGGAGAGCTTCTGACATCTCCTCCATCTGACAAACTGACTGGAAGTGATCTCCCCTGAATAAACTCTAATGCATCCTCCAAAGTCCCACTCCAAGGTCCCCTCCTTGGGGAAATCTCCGCCTGCCGCTAGGCAGAGTGAGATGTGCACTCACCGCCATTTCCCCTGGGGTTCCCACAACCCACTCCCCACACCCCCTCCCCGCACCCCCCGCCCCCGCCCATGCCAGGGCGGAGACTGGATACATTTTCTGTTCCCATCAACACAGGGAATCTACCTGAGCGCAGGGACTGAGCCTGTAGCAGAGCCCAGCACAGGGGGTGCCCTGCAGGAGGGTCAGAGGCAGCTGCCCCTTTAAGTGCAGGTCATGGGGGCTCCTGATTCCCCCAAAGAGCAAGAGCACCAAGAGCTATCACTCTGCTGTGGGCTTTCACCGAGGCTGAGCTCCGGCTGCTTCAGGAGACCCAGGGGTCAGCGTGGAGCCAGCAGCCCTGTGCAAGGCGCTACGGAAAGCAGGCTCCTTCCCAGCCGGCGCTCATGCCCTGATCCCAGCGGGAAACAGCAGGGGCAGGCCCAGGCCTAACCCTCTGCCACCTCCCACCCTGTCTCCTGGCCCAGCAGCCCCTGGTGCCCAAAAATAAGCAGTCAACCCGGCTCTTAGCCCTGGCCCTTTGATCCGGGCAAGCACCAACACCTGGCTGGCGCCCTCCACCTGGCTCCGACCTTATCAGGGCTTGGGGAAGAGGCAGGTGCCTGGGGCCCAGGCCAATTAGACGATTTGCCTGGCTGCCCAATGGGTCACATCCTGGTCTAGCTCACCTGGCTTCTTGGCTCAGGTGGCCAAAGGGGTAAGGACATTCTGGGGAGCCATCCCAGCTGTACCGGAGGCAGGTGTGAGGGTCAGGAGGTAAGACTGGGGGGGTCTCTGAGGGTGCTGGGATTCTCATCATGGCCTGAGAGGAGACACCCTGAGAATATGGAGATGCCCGACTCTCAGATACCTGGGACACGACTCACCAGCCCAGTGGCCATCTGGGCTCCCTCCCCAAGCCAAGAGGACGGCCTGTGAGGAGTTCCAATCCCAGGCCTGCTACTCTCTCACGATTAGACCTTAAGCAAGTCATTTCCCCTCTCTTAACCTCTGCCCCTTCATCTAGGAAGTGAAGCTTGGAGGAGGAATAATCAGACAAGATGATGTTTATGAAGTATTTGTCTACCTCTGGACACATCGCCAGGGACGATAGCAACTGCCAGGCGTTGTCTCTCCCTTAGCCAGCAAGGCAGCCCGGGACGTAACCACAGCAGCACTACAACCACCCGCCTGCTCCCTGGGTGGCTGCACAGGCGCTGACCTCACTCAGTAGCGGTTGAATGGCAGAGGCTGGGGCAGAGCCTTGTTGATCATCAGTCAGCAAAGCCAAGACCAGGAGGGGATGAGGCTTGGCAGGTGCCCCGTGACTCAGGGGCCGCACGGGGAGGATCTGGGTGGTGAGGCTCTCTCCTGCCCTTTCCCCATCCGCTCAGCAGCCTGCCCCCTCCCATGCTGCCATCTAGCTGGAACTCTCTTCCCCTCTGCAGGTGCAGAGCCCAGGACACTGGAGGGACCTGTCCCCGGCCCCAGGGCAGGCTGACTTGCTCTGGCCCAGCCAGGGACACCCAGCAAGAGGACAGGGGCCGGGGAGGGGTTTGGGCTCACACCCTGGGTGGAGGTGACGTCTGGAGTGGCAGGCACCGGGCCACCCTTAGGAGGTGCAGGACCACACAGCTTTGCCGCAGTCCTAGCTCTGTCAACTCTCACATGTCAGGCATCAGCCCCGAGCTATCACGTCCCCTCTCTCTGAGCCCCAAAGACCCCCTCTGGGACCTGAGTGTAGGTAGCCTGGCTCTGTGAGCTCATTGTGGAGGCCTGGCATTGTTCACACTGGAATGCCACCTAGACAGGTCAGGCAGGTTCCCGGACAGGGCCTGTTCCCGCCACTCCTCCCTCCCAGGGAGCCCAGGCAGGGGAAGGGGTTCCCAGACTGGAATGCAGACTGAGGACTTCCTCCCGTACACCTGACTGGGCCTCACCGTCCGCTGGACTCCTGCACCCAGGGGAACCAGGGCCGAGGGGGCCAGGCCCAGCCACACAGCGAGGCCGGGAGGCAGTGCTGGCTCTGGGTCCCTGCCCTGGTCTGCAGGGCTGCTGCGGAGCTGGCCAGCACGGCCACAGCGCGTGAGCAGGCCAGGGGGCCAGAGGCTCAGACCCACCAGGGCCATGGAGTGGGCCGGACATGAACAAAGGAGACACGGACCCCAGCGGGAAGGGAGGACAGGCTGGGGTAACTGCTTAATGACCTGGCACTCTGCCCTGGTCCAGGGGCTTGGACTCTGAATCCCCAGGCGTCAGAATGATGGGGCCCCAAGGGAAACGGGCCGAGGACCCCAGGCCCAGGACCAGGCTCCTGCCCTGAGTCTGGGAATGGCTCTGGGCTGACCAGGGTATTTCCTGATTTGACATCTAAGAGATGACTCCTAGGCTGATGGCAGAGGAAGGAACCAGGGGTGGGGGAGGAAATGGACTCAGAGTTGCCAAAGCTCTGTTGACAGTGCCCAACTTATTGATGAGAGGAGCTCTCTCCACCAGCCTCAGGGTGAAACCCGGATCCCTGGGTCCCCATGAGGCCCCCAGAGGTCACCTTCAGGGAGCTGGGCCCTCGGCCTGCACACTATGTCTCCCACAGCCCCTCAGGGCAGGTGTGATTTTTCTTTGGCAAGAAGAGAAGCAGAGGCTGGAGAAGGGGTGCCTTTGTGAGCAGCAACGGTGGGATTTGTACACAAAGCTCATGTTCTCTCCAACCAGTCAGGGCTGGTAAGAGACCCAGCAGAGAATGGCCCACCAGGACAGAGGGGACCAGTGTCTGGCAGGGGTCGTGGACTCACCTGACTGCAGCAATCCGGCACTTTGGTCCTTGACCCCAAAGTGCTGCTGGATATCCAGAAGGACACCTGGAGGGAAAGACAGACGGTGCTTACTGGATCGCCTGATGCCGGTGCCCCTCTCCCCCACAGGTGACCCCCACTCCCAGCCCAGTCCTCTCTCCCCCTTGCAGGACTCAGCCTGGCCCCATCTATACAACTCCACCCCACCCAGTTTAGCTAGGCCACCGGGGACCTTGGAGGTCAAGCTCCCATCCTGCCCCACTGGCCACCTGCGCTCACCTGGGGATAGGATCTCACCCCTTCCCTCGGCCACTGCAGGGGCCCGAGGCACAGGCAGGCCAGGCTGCCCCGTGGTTACTCAGCCCAGTGAGGCAGCCAAGCTTCCTCTCTGCCCACCTGGCCCAAGCCTGACCTGAGTGAGGGACAGGCGTGCACCTTGCCCTCAGGGAAGACCACCAAGCCTGCAGCCCCGTGAGCACGAGGGCAGCTGCTGAAAGCTGCCAGGGAAGTTACCGGTCTGGGACAGGGCTGAGGGGCTCACAGGCAATGCTCGCACCTGCTCACCAGCACGGAGTGCACATGCGTGCACACACTCAGCCCGTTGCCCTCAGGATTATAACCAGGGCCCCCAACTTTCCAATGCAGAAGGAAGCAGGTGGGGCTTCAGGCTTGCTTTTTCTAGAGGAAAGAGATTCCTTTTCCCAAGTCCCAGCCACCCCTGCTCCCCCTTTAGGGCATTGCATGTTGGCGGGAGGAGCAGCCTGAACCACCCCTGGCTGTGAATAGACAGAGCCATGGCTGCATGGGGGCCAGCAAGCTCCTGGGCCCCCCTCACCTCTCATGGTGCTCCACCAGGGCCCTGAGTAAGCACACCCCCAGCCCCGAGGGCCCAGAGCTCCCCTCAACCTCTGCTTCTCTCTAAGGACACCAAGAAGCTGGGTCACAGGCCAGACCCCCCTGACCACCACACACCTGCACTGAGAAGGGAGTGGAGGAAGGAGGAGGAGACAGGGCTCCCCATGCAGGGGACAGAGGAAGGGGCTAGAGCCTGCCTTCAGGGGATTCCCAGGCTCTTCATGATGATGATGATGAAGAAAATGATGTCAGGATTTGAAATGAGGATGGTTCAAATTATTGAGCATTAAGTGCTTTGCTAGTTTAACCCTCATACAACCCTATTATTGTACTATTATTCCACTGGGCAGATGAGGAAACTGAGGCACAGGAAGTTAAGCCGCGTGCTCAAGGTCCTACCACGTGAAGGCGGAATCCCCAAGGACTGAATCCCCAAGGCACCCATCTGGTGCCTGAGGGTGTAAGTGGGGAGAGCAGGGCTCAGTGTCCCTCCCATGACCCAAGGCTGGGATGCGGGGCGATGTCCCGGGCTGCGGGTCAGCCCGGCTGCTGTCCTAGCAGCCTGATAGCCGACAGGAGCGGGCCTCCTCCTTGTTAATGTCCACAGTGGATTTACCATAATTACCCGTAATGAAGAGGCCGTGTGAGACCTAGTTAATGACTTAATAACCAGGGCGGGCTGTGGCCTTGCCTTGAAAGCAGAAGCCAGAGGCCGAGCCCAGGCCTGTGGAATGCAGAGCCACCAAGTGGGACCCCCAGGGTGTCCTGACCTGGCCTCAGAGGCCCAGAGTTCCATCGGGGATACGGTGGCACTGTTGGGCCTGATCTTGGGGAGCCACCCACACTCACCTCCGACCCCACAGTCCACTCCCACTCCTGAGCCAGGACCTGCTCCCCTCCCGATGGATGTGTGGAGGGATGTCTGATCACATCCCTCACATAGTCACCATCAATGGTGACTCCCCAGGGCTTCGGGAGGACGCAGGCCCCTTCCCCGGGCCACCAGCTGCAGGTTCGGCTCTGCCAGCCCTGCGAACCCCACCCTCCAGCCTCATGTCTCAGGACACCACCCCTCCAACCCATACTACAAGCACCGCAAACTACTCATGGCCCCCCAGTTACTCATGCTTCCTCTCCTACTGTGGCACAGCTATGTTGACTGCTAATTCCTGCTACTCCGTCAAGACTAGTTCAGGTGCCTCCTCTTCTGGGGAGTCTTCCCTGATTTCTCCCCCTTCCACCAACCTCAGTAAGTCAGTTGCCCCTGCCCATCCTTGTTTCAGCACTTGCACACCAGGATTAGTTAGCTCTACAGGGAAGACACATAGGGACATGGATATGAGCTCCTTGAACCTACTGTAGCCAGGAGCTAAAAGCCACCAGTTATTGGTTCCTGCTAAGTTCCAGGTACTGTGCGGGGCTTTCAGGTAGTATTTCTACCTGAATATGTGTGTATCTACAGTAATCGTCCCCTTGCTGCCTACACTGCTGTCTACAATGATTATCCCCATTTTACATCTGAGGAAACTGAGGCTCTGAGAGGTGAAATAACTTGCATATAGCAACTTAAGGTGTCAGAGGTGAGATCTGAAACCAGGTCTATTGCCAGAACCAAGGCTTGTTCTTCTGCCGCATGGCTTCTGTGTGGTTGCTCTTGCCCCACAGCCCAGGGCCCAGGACACAGCCGCCCACAGTGACCGCATGTGGAGTGGATGCACAGACAAATCTATGAGTGTCCACCTCCTTCCCAACCCAACCAGGAGCCCGTTGCGGCTGGAGCCACGGCAAGTCATCTCCAGAACCGAGAACAGGGACTATTTAGGTCCTGGGTAAGGATGGGTAGAGTGAGGAAGCGGTGGGAGGACAAAGCTCCCCCTGAGCCCCTGAACCCCTGAACAGTGGGTCCTCATCCACAGCCAAAAGGAGGACATGGATCCACAGTCACTGCAGGCCCACCGGTCATCATGAAGATGGCCTGTGTGCACAACAAATAAAAACACTCTTGCTTCCTCCCCAGGCACATTCTAGCCACCCACCTGGACACAGTCCCCCTCCCATGACTTCAAGGCCCAGCGGTTGCCTCTGCCTCCAGGAAGCCTCCCTGACCTCCTCTACTGCACAGAGCTCCTTTCTCTACACCCAGATGGCACTCCCTGGTCCCTGCGAGGACCCAGGCAGTCTAGACCCCAAGACACGGGACGCTTTGGATACCCCCACCCCAGCACCCCGCGGAACCCAGGCTTAGGTCGAAGGCCTGAGCTCCAGGCAGTGGCCAGAGAGAACCTTCCCTGGAAGCAGGGCCTCGTGCAGGCCCTGCCTAAGCCTCTCTGGGTTGTTTTCCCTCTTATAAGCCTGGAAGGAGCCATGGCCACAAGTGGACAAGGTCCCACTGGCCACGGGCACGGGAAGCATGTGTCACAGCAGCCTGGCCGGTCGTCTCAGACTTTCCTCTGGGCTCCAGCCTGGCTTGGACCCACACTCTCCCACCCTTCTTCACCACAGCCTTATTTTTAGCCTCTTTCCTGGAGGCTGAGGTTTGGTGGGTCACAGGACGGGCCTCACGCCCAGGAAGAGCCTCCTACAGCTCAGGCCAAACCCACTCCAGCAGCCCCGCAGCCAGGGGCATGCAAGGTGGGGCTCCCAGCCCACACGCGGCCCTCTCCGGGCATCTCCAGGCAGTCACCCCAAATCCAGAGCCAGAATCGCCCTCTGCCTGCAGGGTCCTTCTCCCTGAGGCCAGAAAACATTCTGAAACAGCAAGAACAACTGAGTTTTCCCATTCACTGAGCCCCTATACTCCTGCTGAGCTCCTGAGGGTCTCACCCCTTGTCTAAGCCCAACTGTCCCCTCTAGGCTGACGGTCCCTCCTGCCTCCCGGGGATCTTGCCCTAGGCCTGCCCCTGGTTTGAGTCTGTACTCTCAGCCTCTCCGTCACTGCTATCTCCTGCGCAGCAGCCTACAAAAGCACTCACATCTCTCTCACCCTAGTGGTGAAAGCAATCCTGACTTGTCCCCTCTGCCAACTGCTTCTGCTCTCTCCCCCTTCACAGCTAAAGTTCTTACAAGAGCCCTGGCTGGTGTGGCTCAGTGGATTGAATGCTGGCCTGTGAACCAAAAGGTTGCCGGTTCGATTCCCATTCAGTGCACATGCCTGGGTTGCAGGCCGGGTCCCCAGTTGGGGACATGTGAGAGGCAACTGATCAATATTTATTTCACATATTGCTGTTTCTCTACCTCTCTTTCTCCCTCCGTTCTCCTCTCTCTAAAAAGTAAATAAATAAAATTTTAACATTCTTACAAGAGTTCTCACCCCTCCCCAACTTTATGTCCTTGCTTCCATCACTTCCTGAAACCAACCACCTCCCAGTGGTTTAATCGACAGACTCTCTCTTCCCTAAGTGCCCCAGCCACCTGGATTCCGAGTCCCCTGCTCCATCACCTGGACCCCGTTCCCTGAGTGGCACCACAGCACCACCCAGGCCGGACACCTGGGAGTCCGCTATGACACACCCTCGCCTCCCACGGGTCCATGAATGGGCCCAGCGGTCCTGTCCCTCACCGCCTGGCCTCCTCTCCGGGCTCCCTGCTTCCAGCCTCTCCTGGCCATCGAGCATCCCTCGCTCAGCCTCATCTCACAGGCACTTATCGGTCTACTAAGTGCTGGGCTGGGCTTCAGAGACCACAGGCAGTGACCCAAGGAGCTAACACCAACGGTCCGGCGTTGTCACCTCTGGATGTGACTCAGAGTTACCCATGTGCTCTTCAAAATCCACTGGCCCAGACCACTGGTTCAGTAACACTGCTACTACTAACAACAATAGCCTGGTTATTAACAAGTACTAATGCCTTCCATGAGCCAGACACTGTTCTAAGCGTGTGACCTGCATTAGCTCATTGGTGTGGCTGCCCAACAATGCTTCGTGGCTCCCCATTGCCACCCAGCGAAGGCCAGGTTTCCTCTAGCATCTGAGGCCTCCGGGATCCACATCTGCACAATCACCCTGTCCACACGTGAGACGCAGGGATCTATTAACATGCAGCGAGGGTGACTGGAAACCACCGGCCCGGCCAGGCTGAGGCCGCTGGGAATTGCACAGCACAGCCTGCGGACTCCAAGCCTTGACTCTAGCCATGCTTTCTTCCTGGGGTGTCCATGTCCACTTGTTAAGGTCCACTTCATCCAGAGCCCAGATCCAGAATCACATCTGCCG